CAGTGCACACTTTAAAATGTAGGAATTCTTCTTGGAATTTTCTATTTAATGTTTGGGACCATAACTGACCATGGATAACTGAAACAGCAGGGAAACCAAGGATTTTTTGTTTTGGGGGGACTACTAATATCTATATGGTCTATGAAAGACGTTATTGGTGGAAGAAAACAACAGGGGCTTCTGAGAAATTATAAATAATCTTGCAGTTTGGGGCCAGTGATTTAGCTCAGTGGTTCCACTGCCTGCTTCACAAGCATCCTGGTATCAAAAAAAAAGAAAAGAAAAGAAAAAAGAATCTGTGGTTCATGGAGAAAGTGGAGGAAAGGGATCACAAGACATGGTTTGCAAGGGTCCACACTGAGTTTGGTCTCTGCCCCATACTGAAGGAAGCCAGGAGCTGTGTCTGAAGGGGCCACCTCCCAGACGATGCTCCATGCGGACCTATAGCTTATCCAAGGCCATGTCCTGCACTTTGGTCCTGGAAGTTCCCCAAAGGCCATCTGTTAGAGGTTTGGTTCCCAGCACACAGAAGCTTTAGGAGCTGGGGCCCAAAGAAAGGAAGTTAGAGTGGTGCACATCTGTAATTCCAGTTCTCTGAGAGGCTGAGGCAGGAGGATTGCCATCAGTTCGAGGCCAGCCTGGGATACACAGTGAGTTCAAGGCCAGCCTGAGTTACATAGTGAAACCCTGTCTCAAAAAAAAAAAAAAAAAAAAAAAAAAGACCAAAAACCAGTGCTGGTGATGTAGCCAAATGTGGAGGCCCTGGCTTCAATCCCAGCACTAAATAAATAAATAAAAAAGAAAGGAAGTTAGTTCCCTTGGGGTCATCCCTTAGAGGTGACACCAAGACCCCAGTTCCTCTTCTCCTGTCTCTCTGTTTCCCTATTGCCATGAGGTGAACAGTCCTCTAACACAGGCTCCCTCCAGGCCCAAAGACCACAGACTGAAATTCAAAACCAGGAGGCAAAATACACCTCTCCTCCTTAGACATTTAACTCAGGTGATTCATCACAGCACTGGGAGGCTGACACCTGGCACCAGTGCTCAGATGTAAAAAGCATTGTGAGGGACTAGGGATGTAGCTCAGTGGTTCTGCCACCTGCCTCACAAGCACGAGGACCCGAGCTCAATCCCTGGTACAAACAACAAAAACCTGGAAAGCATTCAGTGAGTTTCCAGGGGCCCATGTGCTAGGTGATTTAGACTCAAAACAGGCAAAGGCAAAGGTGTTTCATCAAGCTCCTAGCCCTCTACTGCTACTGGCACCACTGCCACCTGGATTTTTATTTACTTATTTATTTATTTTGGTTTTTTGAGACAGGACCTCACTATGTAGTTGAGACTGACCTGGAACTCACTATGTAGCCCAGGCTGGTCTCGAACTCACAGAACTCACAGCGATCCTCCTGTCTCAGCCTCCTGAGTGCTGGGATTACAGGCATGCGCCACCATGCCCAGCTAGATTTTTAAATTCATAGTAACCAAGTTTGGGGATAACCTTGGCACAATTTTGGCTGCTGAGGAACAGGACAAGGCTGTTAGAAGACTGGGTGGTTGTTCTGTTAGTCCTTTCCCATCTTCTTCTTTGTGAATGGTTAGAAGTTAGTATAGCACCTCTTTATTTTTTTAATTGAGTTTATTGGTACAATCTAGGTATAGAATACAGTTACATTCATCATTGGGATTCTGTACCTTTACATAATAGGTCTTGATTCTCATTTTTTCCCCTTGTCCCTGCCCTCCCTTCACCCCCTCCTCCCCTCCCCATTTACACACACTTTATTTCCATTTTTTCAGTTTCTCATATTTTTTTCTTCTCCCTTATTACCTTTCCCCCACCTTTCCCACTTTCCCTACACCTTTAGCCCTTTACTTTCTATTTCACATTATTAATTATCTCATTAGGATCCTGTGTACTATTATAGTTTTTCACACCAAAGAAACTATTCGGTATTTCAGTTAAAGAAATCTCTGTATGAACATTAAAAATAGGGAATCCTAAAATAAAATTAAAAAGGAAAGTAAAAGAGAAAAGGCAATGATGTAACATTAAAATAATGCTTAATTCTGGAGATGAAAATGGTCCCTGAACATATTTAAATTGCTTCTCCCTCTTATACTCTAGTCTTATTCTTTTTCATTATTTAGAGAATACTTTATTAGCTTCTGTAATCAAACCCACGTAGATATGACCTTTCATATTTAATATAGTGCATTACCCCTGTACACATGGAAAAAAAATAAATAATAAAAATAAAAATAAATTAACATTTCTAGACCAATATGGCTGTCCATTTCTGTACAATGGCAACTCAACAGAGTAAATTGGGATGACTTTTTGCAAAATTGGCAGCACCGTTAAAGTTTCCCAAAATTCAACTTATATATATTTATATTTATATAAAAAGACTAATAATAGTATGTTATGCATCGATAGCAGCAACAGCTTTTCCAGGTTCTGCAGTCATCTGAACAAAATTATAGACATTCAGCACATTCCATTAAAAACAAAACAAAACAAAACAACAACAAAAAAGAAAAGAATAATATCCAGGAAACAGCAAAGTTCTGTTGCTGTTGTGGTACCTGGGAGCATTTTTTTTATTAGCATCTTAATCATCATCTGGAAAGAGAACATTCTAGAGTAATATCATTAAATGTAGCTCTGATAAAGCACGGTCCCTACTATGTATCATAAAGCAGGTACAAGATATTTTACATTCAGAGAGGTATGATACAGTACCGTCCTACATCAATAATACTAGAATCAGTTTTGGTTTGAAATTTACTTTGTCTGCAAATAAGATTGCTACCCCTGTTTTTTTCTGGGCTCCTGTCACATGGAGAATTGTTTTCTTATCTTTTCCCTTTCAGTCTATGAGCTTCTTTTTGCACTAGGTGTGTTTCCTGTACACAACATATTGTTGGATTTTGCTTCTTATTCCATTTTGCCAGTCTATTTCTCTTGATTGGTGAGTTGAGGCCATTGACATTGCTGGTTATAACTGATATGTACTCACTTATTATTGACATGTTATTGGCCTTTTTTTGACTCTTTTTACTTTTTCACCTTCTCCTTTTAATTTCTTGCCTTGCCTATTTGATTTGCTCTGTTGGGCCTCATGGTGTTGTTGCCTTCATTGTCTTTTTCTAGGATCTTGTTTAGAATTCATTGTAGTG